AACAAGGAATTGGGGTGCACTCAATCTCATTCAAGAGATTGATAGCCCCAATTAAAGGGTTAAACCTAGAGATAGTAATACCCGACTTGAGCCAATTTTGCTGGCACTGTTTGAACACCGAATTGGGCTTGAGAAAGCCAATTAGGGAAAAGTCACTCAAACTACTGAGAGGTATAGAGTGAGTAGTTACGTGCAATGGCTATATCATGATCTCAATTATAACAAATTTGCCCTAAGTTTTGGATCCCGTTAGATACTCACCTAGGAGTAAGTCACATCCCTAGTGCCTTTTTACCAATTAAGAAAACCCCATACAAAAATATCATACTTAGCTTATTTTCCTGCATCATTAGTATTAAAATAGAATAGTGAACAAATAAAGAATGATTAGAAGTGAAATCAAGAACATCGCACATTGCTAGATTAGATAGGAACCCAATTCCAAAACTTCCTTAGCTCTCTGTGGATTCGATCCCGACCTTTCGGGTAAAAGCTGCATCGACCGCTCTTGCCACTCTATAGTGGTGTAGGGTTGGCTCCGATCAGATATCCATTTTATCACTGCTGCAAAACTTCGAGACACACAGGAATGCCCTGATGAAGGTGCTAAGTGAAGCCCATGTACCCACCAACATCACTAGTAGGGAAATGGCCAACATGGTCGGGCGGGTATTGGAAAGCCACAAAATCACTTTTCATGGAGACAAGCTACCACCGGAAGGACTAAGTCACAACAGGGCACTGCATATCACAGTGCAATTTGAGGACAAATTCATCGCCGGGGTCTTGATAGATGGGGGTTTGAGTCTCAATATATGCCCACTGACTACTCTGATGAGGCTGGGTAAAGGCCTGCATGAGAAACGAGCAGGAAGAATTAATGTGAAGGCGTTTGATAGATCTTAGAGGGCCACAATCGGGGAAATCATCCTCAGCCTACAGATGGGACCAACCTGGTTTGATGTTGAGTTTCAAGTGCTGGATATATGTGGTACCTACAATTTGTTATTGGGACGACCCCGGATACATGCCGATAGGGCCATAGCACCTACTCTACATCTGGCTGTGAAGTTTAAATGGAACCATCAAGAGGTGATCATCCATGGAGACGGGAGTAATCCCATCTATACCAATCAGACTGTTCTAGTCATCGAGAACAGGAGGAAGCTGGGTGGAGAAACATACCACCGCATTGAGCGCGTCAATGCAATTGGAAAAGACAAATGGTGGAGCAACAAGATAGAAAGCATATTGCTATGGACAGGGTATGAGCCTGGCAAGGGTCTCGACAAGAATCTCCAAGGGATCACCAAACCAGTACAGCCGAAGCGTCATGGTACAACTTTTGGGCTTGGGTACGAATACACTTGGCAAGAGTAGTTGGATTGGTCGCTGCCATGGCGTGGTCCTTATTATCGGTGGAACAACCAGTACCACATTTGTACCAGACATTTCATCAAGCTGACATGATGTGGGGATCTGAAGAAGATGAAGCCTTAGCTGGCATAAGGAAGCTGTTTCAGGATAATGACGACATGGATTGCAATGCTATAGTTGATGAGGAGGAGGAGGAAGACCTTACTATTCAGACCGTGGAGAAAGGAGTTATTCTCAAGAGCTGGACTGTTGTACCATCCCGGGCCCGTCGAGTTCCTGGGTAGCCTGGCAATTAGCATCAATTATTTTTAAGCAGTTTTATGAGCATCTAAGACATTTTCAGTATTTTGTTTTGAACGTATTTTGTTTTGAAATAATTGCTCGAGTCATCGAGCCGTGCTTGTTTGACGTTTTCAAGATTTATTTAATGTATTGCTACTTTTAGTATTTATTATTATTCTTTCCATTTTCTCTCTACAGCATTATTATTACCTATCCCGATGAACCTATGACTGTGACATATAATGAGACAACGCAACATAAGGATAGTGATTCAGAGGGTCTGGAAGATGATACCTGAGGAAATTGTCAGAGAAATGGAAAACTTTGAAAACAAGCCTAAGTCTAATTTGGACAATACCGAGACAATTAACTTAGGTGATTCCTAAACACTCAAGGAAACACGTGTAAGCATTCACCTATCACCATCAGAGAAGGAAGAGTATGTCTGATTCCTAAAAGAGTATGAGGATATCTTTGCATGGTCCTACGATGATATGACCGGTTTGAGCACATCCATAGTGGCTCACAAGCTACCTACCGATCCCACCTGTAAAACAGAAACTCAGAAAATTCAAGCCAGATATGAGTTTGAAAATAAAAGAGGAAGTCACTAAGTAAATCAAAGCCAAGTTTCTCAGAATGGTTGAGTATCTGACTTGGGTTGCTAACATCGTGTCAGTCCCGAAGAAAGATGGGAAAGTCAGAGTATGTGTTGATTATCGGGATTTAAACAGAGTGAGTCCCAAAGACGATTTCCCATTGCCCAATATACACATACTATACTGATCGACAACTGTGCCAAGAATGAACTCCAATCTTTTATGGATTGCTTCGCGGGGTATCATCAGATCTGGATGGATGAAGAGGATGCCAAAAAGACAGCCTTTATCACACCATGGGGAATGTACTACTATAAAATGATGTTGTTTGGTTTGAAGAATGATGGAGCCACTTACATGAGAGCCATGACGACCATTTTCCACGACATGATACACAAGGAAATAGAGGTGTACACGGATGACGTCATCATCAAATCCAGAAGAAGCACGGATCATATAGCAGACTTGAGGAAATTCTTTGATTGGCTTCGAAGCTACAATCTGAAACTGAATCCTGCAAAGTGTGCCTTCGGAGTCCCTGCCGGAAAGTTGCTAGGAGAACAAGAAGGATGTGATGAGCTTTTTAGGACGTCTCAACTACATTAGTCATTTCATAGAACAATCTACCGTGATCTGCGAGCCAGTTTCCAAAATGCTGAAGAATGATGCTGCAACAAGCTGGACTAAAGAATTCCAGAAAGCCTTCGACAAAATCAAGGAGTATTTATCTAAACCACCTGTTCTGGTCCCACCGGAACCAGGGAGACCTTTTCTGCTTTGTTTGTCCATACTAGATGGGGCTTTTGNCATAGGTTCATTCTAGTGGCCATAGACTATTTCACAAAATGGGTTAAAGCCATATCTTACAAAGTTGTAACTCAGAAGGTCGTTGCAAATTTTGTTGGGGATCGCTTTGTTTGTCGATTCAGAGTACCAGAGTCAATCATCACCGACAATGCCGCCAATCTTAACAGTGATCTGATGAAGGCTATGTGTGACACCTTCACGATCAAGCATAATAATTCCACAGCATATAGGCTGCAAATGAATGGAGCTGTAAAATCCGCCAACAAGAACATCAAGAAGATATTGAGGAAAATGGTGGATAATTACAAACAATGGCACGAGAAGCTGTAGTATGCTTTGCTTGGATATCGTACAACAGTTCGCACATCAATTGGGGCAACTCCTTACTTATTGGTTTACGGTACTGAAGCGGTTATCCCTGCCGAAGTAGAAATCCGCTTTCTAAGAATCATACAAGAAGCTGAGCTCAGCGACGCAGAGTGGGTACAAAGCCGCTATGAACAACTGGCCCTCATTGATGGAAAAAGAATGAATGCATTATGTCACTTTCAACTCTACCAGAACAGAATGGCGAGAACTTTCAACAAAAAGCTCAGGCCAGGTAATTCACACTGGGGAAATTGGTGGTGAAACGGATCTTCCCACATCAGGATGAAGCCAGGGGGAAGTTTTAACCCAATTGGCAAGGTCCCTACAAGGTTCACCGAGTACTAATAGGAGGAGCACTCATACTTGCATAAATTGACGGAGAGATTTGTCCAAAACCTATCAACTCAGGCGCAATCAAGAGATACTATATTTAGGATTGTTTACATTTCTTCACTTGATGTAACTGAATTACGCTTGACCTGATTCCCATTTAAGAGGGGATACCTAGGCAGCTGATAGGTTACATGTACTTTGGTTATAAGTACTTTACTTTATGTTTTGATGATCTAACAAACTTACTATCCAGAACTAGATAAGGAACCTGCTACACATTTACAAGATCTCAAGTTCACAAGATTTCAGGTTGGGAGCGTGGAATATGATTCAACTCCTCAGATTGGAAGGAACAACTGAGGGACTAGGTACCTACCAGTTCCCGAGGAGACTGTACGAAGTTAACTCTGCAGCTGGAAAGTTACTGCCTGCACACGCTACTGTGCAGAACAGTGCTGCAGTCAACTTTCCAGAGAAGACTTCTTACCCACCTTGCTTGCATCATTAGAAGTGATGTCACACATGTATATATGCATTCATGGGAGGTAAAACAAAAAACTTGAACACTTAGAGAACTTACTCATGCTCACTCATGTGACTATTCAGCCAGCAAGTTTCAAGTACCTCAAGAACAAAGCAACTACGAACCAGTTCCCACATCGAGTTATTGTGTGTACTTAGTTGAGATGTAACTTTGTAATAGTTCTTCAAATTGTAATTCCTATCCAGCTTATTTAGAAACACTTTGTAGGAACATCTTTGTAACCCTTAAACTTGCGTGTTTAAGTATTGGCTAGAGTTAGTCAAGTTTTAAACTCTAATAGAGTTATTGCAAAGTGGCTTGTAATAGGTGTATTACAAGTTAGTGAGGGATTAAGAGTTTAATTCCTAGGTTGCATAGGTTGTAATCTGAAAGTTACTCAGTAGTGAAGTTGAAATCCTACAAGGGTAGGTCGTGGTTTTCAATCCTGTTGAGCTGGGAATTTTCCATGTAAAATTCCTCTTGTCTGTTAACTTCTGTTCTGTGCGTGTGTACTGTCAAACCTAATAGAGAACCTGGTTCTCTATAGAAGATGGTGGACCCATATGTTCTATCAGCAGCCCTGTGGGTTCGGTCACATCTTAATAAAATCTTCATTTTCCCCATGATCAGAAACTGGGGCAAGATTGCAAGATCGGCCAACTTCGTCATATGTGGAACAACCAAAGGTATTGCATTTAAACTGGGGCAGAATTTTNGCTGCTGGTGGCTGGGCTTGAGCTGGCTGAGTAGGGCTGGGAGGCTGCATTGGAGCCATTCCAGGTCTCTGAACTGTATTATTAACAGGCATAAATCCTCTAGGAGCTTGGGAAGGAGCTACAGCCTGAGGCATCTTTTGTCCAAAAGCTGGGCCAACTTGAGAAGGGTTAGGGCCATATGAAGGAGGCACATTAGGACCGGCAGGATAACCAGGATTAGCAGGTCCCTAAAATGAACATGCAATGAGAATCATAAGACAACACATCTATATTCGCCCAAACCACAATCTCCCCCTTAGATTGAAGCGAAAAATGGAAATCTTTAACATACGGGATACAACTGAGCTCCCAAGGTATGCGGCGGCTGCTGATATTGCTCCACATTTCTCAGCCGCAGGGGGATTTGATGGGATAAAGGAGGTCTTAGCATGCTGAGTAGCAACAGGTGGTGAAGGAATGTTACCCTGTAAACGCGAGAAAAATATATATTAGCAATCTAAGGACATCATCCTCACCGTCCGAAGACGACCTTCATGGTCCAAAGGGAATTCGCATCACGTTTAAATTCTCGCAGTAACCCATATATATTTGCATGCATCGTGTTTTAAGTTTTGCAGGTAATCCAGGAAGTAACCGTTCTTCAAACGGGAGCAATCTTCGCTCTGATTTACGTTCACAACGTTCGCATCCTTCAATTGTTTCAAACGTAACCGACCACCATTAATTGCATGCCTTTTACTCTATGACCGTTCAGATATCTGCTCTGTGATACATCCATAACTTTTAAATTCACATTCATGACCTCACATAAATTCATCTGATATTATCCGGCCCAAAAGAACCTTTCAAAAACATACGGTCATTCTCATAACAACTCCATCAGTTTCGTTCACCGTTGGATCCAGAACTACACACGACCTGATTCCTGTAATACCAGGGATATGTAGGCAACTCAGGAACCAGAATTTGCCCCCCATTTTCAAATCACATCATTCCTCATTCAATTCGGCCAAAATTAGTCATCATTTTCTTTACCCAACAACTCTTTCATCATTCCTTGGTAAAGATGGGCAGCTGTTGATACCCAATTTTGCCATCATATTTTCACAAATAGTATATATAGTTTCAAAGCATCATTTTGCATCATTATCTAGTTTAAAAATCTATACAAGCATTTTTCTACAATTTTCCATAATTTTTAGAGCTTTAAAATTAATTTTCTTGCATTTAAATTACATAGTAGTTATCCCTTTAAATTATTTGTGATGACTTAATCATCCCAGTTACAATTTTGCATCCCCATATATGTTTCATAATATTTTCACTTCATTTTGTATAATTATGTTTGTATTTTTAAGCTATTTGCACAATTTTGCAGTAATAGCCTCATATAGAAATGCTCTTTATTTATGATTATTTGTGTCAAAATAGAATTTTATATTTTTATAATACTAAGTTATTATTTTAATCATTTCAGTGTATAAATAATATTTTTTACTTATTTATCAAGTATTTTTATAAATTATTTTTGCGTATTTAAATAAAAGCCTAGCTTTGAACTAATTATGGACCAAATTGGCCCAATTTTCTTAGCCCAACTCCTGGCCCAAGACCAAACGATCCCTTTAGTTATAACCCGGTCGATAACCTATTTTATGACCCGCCCCGTTCGTTTTAAATCCTAGCCGTTGATCTCTTAAGATCAACGGCCCTCATTCACTCTCCCGTTTTAATTAACCTAACCCGCCCCAAAACCCAATCATTTCCTCTAAGACGCCGACTTTGAATCCTCTCTTCTCCTCTCCTCAGAAACCCTAGCCGCCCTCTCGAATTTCTCCAAATCCGTCTCAACCATGGGTTCTTCCATTATTTCCTTGCCTTTTGTGTGTTATCTCGTTATTTTTTACAAGACCATGGTATCATATAGTACTTTCCTAAACATGGCAAGTACTATCTCTCAGATTCTGGCTATTCAACTTCAATCACTTGAATCTGGATGATATTTCGTCCATATGCATCATGACCAGGCAATATGGGTCCGATTAACCAAGATTTCCGGCCAATCTCCGATTTTTATCAACTAGGGTTTACCTAATTTTTTCCCTAATCCGATTTTTATTGATTCGGCGTGTTACTACTTTCTTATTTATGTTTGACTTTACAGTGTTTCCTTGTTTACTTGTTCAATTTTTGTCACTATATAAATCCCTTCCCCCATTCCCCTTTAGGACACACCTTAATCGCTAGATTTTCACTGAAAGTTGGAGTTATCACTTTATTGTTCTCTTGTTCTACACCTTGGTTCTTGACCGACTGAAAGCCAAGGCCACTGAGATTCGATTATTCAACCTTTTCTTGGTGCGAGCATTGCCCGGGGTTCCTTTGAAGCCCTTGGGAACTTTGATGCATTAAGATTCTGGGTTCTTGTGGAACTTTGTTCTTTATTGTTGTTTGTTTAACTGGTAAGTCACTTGACTCTTACAATTTCATTTTTGTGTGTCTATGATTTGCGTATATTCTCACTTCTGAAATTCATGGCTTAATGTATTTTTGAGCTACTTTTGTATGCAACTCTGTTAGCTTTACACTCGTTTTAAGTCTCTTTAGCATTTAATTTCACCTAATGTTGCCAGTTTTGAAACATGCTTATGTCTAATTTGAATAATTTAGATTCTCTAAGTCCGTTTAGCCAATGTGTTTTGGGCTACTTCTGTGTGTGACCTTATCAGCTTTTACACTTGTTTGAACCTCATTAGTATTTAATTTTACTTAAAAGCTGTCAATTCTGTTATTTGAATGTGCTTCATCTGAATAATTTGGAACTTCTTTAGTTAATTAGTCTACTGGTCAATACCTAAAGGCTTGCGTTTGCTATTTGACTTGACTTTACTTTCCCACTCTATTCGATTCTCTATAATGATAGTCTTGCATATGTAATGTGTCTTAATCTGTGTTAGGACCTTTTCTATCTACTATGATCTGCTTCCCTGATAGTGTGCCTCACAGCATATCCCTGTTTTACTTAGTCTATATCCTTAGTAACTATTTGAAACCTTTAGAATAGCCATCTTAGTTTATGTTTCCCATACCATGTTTTTTGCTTCATGATACAAGTTAACATGGTTGTCTTATGATACTGGGATGTATACTTAGCATAATTTGGACCTTTTAGGTTTTAACTTGTTTGGTATTATGCACATGTGTATGATAATCTTTGTCAATCCTGCAAACTTGTTTCTCCCCTAACTCTTTCAGCATGATTTTGCCAATGTGTTGTTTTGCTAAGTGTTGAACTTGCCACTAAGTCTTGCTGAACCTGCTTCGTAGTCCTGTGACCTGCTTGATTAGTTGCTCTGTGTTCTCAACTTTGCTATGTCTTCTTTAAGCTATAAGTGTATTTCCTCAACTTTTGTCCCTTAACCATTGTCCACTCCCTCCCTCTCATTTGTTACCTATGCTATCCTGAACCTGCCATTCTTGGTCGGCTGAAGGCCAAGGACACCAAGACTCTTACTACCGACCTCCCTAGTGTGAGCACAGCTCGGGGTCCATTTGAGACTCTTGTGAACTCTGACACACTAGGATTTTGGGGTCTTTTAGCCACTCTCTCTACTATTGAGACCTGAATTATTCTTGACACTCAATTTTTTCTTCCTATTATCTACTGAATATGTAAATTGGTTGGTCAATCTATGGTTGTGTGATCGGGTTTGAGTTCTTCTATGGATTTTGGGTTGTGCTGATGAATATGGCTCCATGTTGGAAATCTAGGTATGCTACATGAGAGTTGTCGAAGGCCCAAGCAATGTTTCCTTTTGGGCCCGCTATGGGCTTACTGTCATTATTTGTTCAATGTTTGTAATTATATTCATTACTGGGCCTGTAATAACTTTGTAATGAACAATTGGGGTGTTAGTGAAATTTCGAAACGGGTATATTTAATATTTGCATGAAAGGGTAGAAAACGTACCTATAGGATTCAATGATTTACTTGCTATATATGCCATTCAATTTCTATGTGCACTGTAGAAATCATGTCATTAGGAGAAGCAGACACTCACATTGCTCGTCTACTAGCCAACATGAGTTCAAATGCTTTAATTATTCCTACTGTTACGTGTTACTAGAAAACTTGCCTATAGGAAACAAATACCACTAAACTTTGTTTCAATTCGCACAACTGCAGCATATCCACTAGAAATTATGCCTATAGGATTTTAATTATCCCATTTGCTATTGCATCACAATGATCACTAAGAAAACAAGTCGATAGGGGGCTAAGCATAATAAAATTGGTTCCAATCGCCAATTGTTAGATATCCAGCCTATAGGGTATTACTACTCGCCTTAAAAATGTTAATGTTGAACTTCTCAAACATTGTTTACTGCTTATTTATGCCGCTGCCAGAAAGCATGAATAATTCTGGGCTTTTCTCCAATAGATTTCACTGTCCTTTACTGCGTAAATCACTTAGTCACAACATCTATAGGTTTAATAACTGAAAATCTGTAATCTCAATAATCATCGTGTAACAACTGTACAATCTTGCCTATAAGCAGCGCCTTGCATCTGAAACTGCCTGTATGTTTTAATTCAAAGTCACATAGAAATCATGTCTATAGGACTTAAGGTTCTTAATTCTGAAACTGCCTAACACGAAAACCTGTTTCGCGTGCATTTGTTGCTTAAGTGTGGAGGCTGACTTGAGCCTTTAACCGCATATATTTGAAGTCCAATGTGTTTTTGTATGTTGCCTAGTTTTAACATTTTTGAGCAGCCTAGGTAAGGTCTAGAACTTCCCAAATAAAGGTCCAATTAGGGGTGGGCATAATATTGGCCGAACCGAAAAAACCGACCGAACCGTGAATATTGATTTTTCGGTTTCGGTTTAATCGGTTATTCGGTCGGTGCGCGGTTTTTAAATTATTAAATTTTAATTTTCCGTTACGGTTTTGGTGTTTCGGTTTTCGGTTAAACCGAAAAATCAAAATTTTGGGTATGAGTCCAAAACTTATTACCCATCTGAAGCCCAATATCCATCTGGATTCTGAAGCCCACCAATTTACCCAAACCCATCTGACACACACTCTGTATTATAAACTAAAAACATATGCTTTTCACGTTAATCGAGCCGTAATTTTTGTTTATTTTTAGTAAGTTCTCCAACGTCGATAAAGTAATTATTATTACAACCAAAATAAGGATCTATTCTAAGTTACTAATAGAACTTTTGTAGTTCTTAGATATATAATCTATGTTTTAACCTAACCAATTTCCATAAACCCTTTTTCGTTTTCAAACTTTTCACTGCGAACCGATTAGGAGGATCTGTTTTTCGTTAAGGTATGAGAACAGGAAAATGTTCAAATAGACTTTCTTTTAATACAAAAGTCACTCATTTTTTCTTTTTCTGGGTCTTCTCATTCTCTTCTTTATCTTTTCCATGGAAAAAGGCTAAAATCATGGCAAAAAAATTTAGTAGTGCGTTCGCTGGGAAAGATCATTTCTAAGAAGTTGTAAACTACTATACTTAAAGTTTTCTATTTCCAGACTACTTTCTAGTCAGTTTCTATTAACCAAACGCTATTAAACTATTTATGTGCCCTTGTGTTCAACATAGCACTAATGAGGAGTTTGCATCTTGGGGGAAGAGTGAAGACAACTCGACGCACACTCTGTATTATAAAAGTCCTGAACCATTAATAACCGAAAAGCTAAACCGAAAATAACCGAACCGAACCTTGAAAAAACCGCACCGAACCGTAAATACTTTGGTTTGATTTGGTCATTAATGTTAGAAAATCGAAAATCGATAAACCGAACCATACTTTCATAATAACCGACCGAATCGACCGACGCTCACCCCTAGGTCCAATGCTTCCTGGACCGTAGGCATGGGACAGATAGTGCACACATAGACACGACTTAGAATTGAATATGAGTGCTTCTAGGTAAACAACTTTAACATAGTAATCGGGTAGCAGGAGATGATAGTCTGTGCCCGTTGAATAATATGAGTAATTCCCTACCTCAATGGAGTTGCGAAAGATTATTTATGTTGCACGGGGTGATCCTTTAGGCTAAAAAACTTAGGATCCCCTCCTTTATATGTTGTTGTTGGATATAAATAGTTGTATCCCTATATTCGTACTAAGATTTGTACTAATCGAGTTATAATGAAATTCTTTGACCTTTATATTCCCTTTGGTTATTTGATCACTAAGCCTAATTGTAATCCACATAGTCTTAAGTTCGGTCGGGACCCACAGTTGTGGACCTCGAATAGTGCCTAACACCTTCTCTTTGAGGTAATTTGAGCCCTTACCCGATCTTTGGTGGCGTTGACTAGTCAAACAGAGTCATTTGCGAATAGGTGCCCTAACGCACCTTAAAAACCGTTAGGTGGTGACTCTTCTCTTTTAATACCCATTTAAAAAAGTTGTCACGACGTCTAAGCCCGCTTTCGCGAGAAAATGGGGCGCGACATGTACGCCCACACGCCCGTCACCTAGCATGCGCGTCACCTCAACATCAATCACATAACACGTAATCCGAGATTTCATACCCTCACCACAAAGTTTAGAAGTGTTACTTACCTCGAACAAGCGAAATCCAATAACGAGCAAGCCAGACGATGCTCCAAAATGCCATCACGCGCGTACAGACTTCTAAACAGTACGAAACTAGCCAAAAGCAACTCAAATACATCAAATAATGCAAAGGAACAAACTGAATGGATAAAGGTGGAATCTTTAATCAAAAGCCCAAAATCAACCCAAAAGTCAAACCCGGGCCCGCACCTCGGAACCCGACAAAACTCACAAAATCCGACCATCCATTCAATTACGAGTCCAACCATACTAGTT